CAGAGTAATTAAGCCAATTCATAGATGGGGATTATTAGGATGCCATGATTGGTAAGGACCAAAGTGAAATCTGTCCAGGACACCAGGGTTACACTCCTACACTTCTTGAGAAACACCCTGGGATTTTTAATGACCACAGAGAGTCAGAACCTTGGTTTTAAGTCTCATCCGAAGGAAGGTGCCTTTTTACAGTATAATGTTCCCGTTACTATACTGAGGCATTAGGACCCACACAGACCGCAGAGTGAGCGCCCCCTGCTGGCCCCATATGACATTTACTTGATTTTCTATTTTAGAAAAAATGTGGTCCATAAAGTCTTCAGTAGAGATGGTTACAAAACAAGAGAATCTCTACTGTCCATTAAGATCTAGCAGATAACATTTAATAAGATGGCCAGTTTCAATGCACTTTTCCAATAAAACAAAAGCAGTCAAAGAGTTTTATATTATTAGAATGCAAAAAGAAAATCACTTAATTTTTTTACATGGTGTTACACTGTAGTGATTGATGTTTTCTTTTAGAATTAACACTTGATTTCTCTAATTGTTTCTTGTACTGTTTCTTTACCATGGCTTATTATACAGACTGTCACACGAGGTAACGGTGTTACCTTATCTTATCCTAATTGGTCAGCTAATATACAGTAGGATATCAAATACCTCCCCCAAATACCTGTCTTAGGTTTTTAACCCGACAGTTGTATCAATCAAAGTACAGCCAAGACTGGAAATAAAACATTCAGGTCTGTTGTTTGATCAATACTGCCTGGTTATTTTCTTGACATAACTAAATATCATTTAAAATGATAAATGATGAACATGTTTCAGTATTCAAAAAACAACAACTGAATAATATACATAGCCCTACATGATTCATCTGGATTAAGGATGATTAGCTTGTATATGTACGGGAATAAAAGAAACATATACTTACTTACTTATTATAACAGTCTTGCAAAAGTGCTTACACTTATAAAATACATTTAGGGGTTCATAATTTTATATAATGAGAACAAAAGCAGTGCTGGTACTATGGTTGTGAGCACTCGTTCCTTATAGTTCCTGAGTCCAGGGTTGAATTCAGAGTGAGGATGCCTTATATACGGAGTTTGTATATTCTCCCTTGAATCCTTTTGCTTAGAGAATAATACTTTAATTACAAAATACATAACAGTAGTAAAGTAAAAAAAAAGCACAGTAAGTTGGCCACACACATATAAACATAAAAAGGCCTAATGCCAGTTATTTGTAACCTGTCTGGTTTGGTAGTTAGAAGTTAATTGATCCTGGCATCACAC